GTTAAAGTTTCATTGGAACGAAGTTACGGAAAAAATCAATTAACAAACGGAGACGTAACACTATCTTTTATTCAAACAGCATTACATGCCGAATGTGTGTCTCCTGGTGTGCCATCACTATAAAGGGATTAGAGTATACTAAACTTTACACGTTATATAGGCTACACTAAAATGACGTACGTTTTTTGGGGATAGTTAAACGCGACATTAATTTCTTGAGGACCTAATAGAACAGTATTCAAACATTTAGGTGAAAACTGTGTATTCAAACTATCACATGTTGAAAAGACAGTATGATCTAGGCTGTAGAATAAGATGCATACATGTAGACCCTTTGCTGTACAATGTAGGCCTGCATATTGTGGGCACTCTAGCCAATTGAGATCTGATAAAACTGGATTACAGCCTATTTTTATGTTGATATTAAGGGGAATTCCTGAAAGTAATTTCAGAACGATTCCATTTAATATTCGTCCTGGAGGTCTGAGCAAAAATTATCCTTCAACAATCGCCGTTCTTTTTTCTGCAATAGCTAAATGTTGTGTTTTGTTTGCGCGAACTTTTGTAAAGACGTATAAGAAACGGTATGTTAAATGTGTACCAAATTTCATAAAAAGAAAAATCGAAGTTAGGGAAGTATATATATATTTTAATATATTCAGTACAACTTGGTGCGTAGAAGAATAAGACGAAGAAAATCAGACGAACTTTGGCATTACGTATATAAGATTTGGCTGCACGGATTTTATTGAAATTCAGTATGTGAGGTAAGCAAACTGAGAGGCAATATAGGTGAGAAATTCAGAAAAAGTGCATGGAGGGAAACTAAGTTACAGATAGCTGAAGATCGCAATTCGTTGGTTCTTGTAAATAACACACTGTTTGCCGAGCGTCTCAAGTTTTTTTTCTTTTTTTTTTCTTGGCCGCACGACACACTACCGTGTGTTTTTATAATACTCAGTATTTGTCTGTCGTGAAAAAGCGCATTCACTATACTATAGTACTCTCTAAATGCGAATGCGCGTGTGCCTTACTATCTAAGTGCGCATTCACTTCATTTCAAAGGATGTAGACACAATTAAGGCAGATGTAATTATCTTTAGTAGACATTTTGTACAATATCATATTAAAAGCTTATCAAAGTTTTTAAAAAGCCTAACGTTAGTTCGTAGAATAATATAAGTTTATGTTTTTATGTTGATAAGCCTCCAGTGGCACAGCAGTATGTCTGTGGACTTACAGGTTACAATGCTAGAAATCGGGTTTCGATGCCCGTGGTAGGAATAGCACACATAGTCCATTGTGTAGCTTTGTGTTTAATTACAAACAAACAAATATAATGAGAATGTTAAGTACAGTAAAGTATAGCTCTAACTAAAGCAAAAAAGTTATACAATTTACAGTGTTAATTTATCTCTTTATCGAATATAGGCCGTGCTAAATAAAAGCTTAATTTTAACTAATGCCGTTCAAAGATACTGAACCCTGTATGGTCAAGAAAAATGTTCAGTTAAATTTGTGTGATGATAATTATTACTCTTCACATTGAAAGTGTATGATAAACCAAAATGTATTTGGAATATCTTGAAAATTGTGAAGAAAGACAAAAATAAGAAATCATATAACCCGAACGTTTTCAAAAGGTAGATCTTTCTTTATCAGAGATTTGTTTGTACATATATGTGAAAGCTTTATTTTCTTTTTCACCAGAGGTGAAATTGAAATGACAGTTTGTGACGTAGAGGCCTAATGCACCTCTGGTAAAAAAAAAAAAAAGAAATCTTTAACATATATGTACAATCATTAAATGTCATAACATTATTCAAATACCTAAATTAATTTAGGTTACTATGTGGTGAAGTGAAACGGACTCAAAACCCTAAAGATATAGATATTGCCTTTTTTGAACCTATATGTTTTCTTACCATCATGGCTGAGAACTCCGATGATATCCTCAGTAGTCAGTACTACTTCGTACATTTAACAACTGCAGGAACCGGAAATGACCTTATGGTAGCAGTGCGGGCTATGATCCTAAGGTCCTTTGTTTGCGTTTCGGTTCATCCACTCCTAAAAAAACCTCACGCTCTGCACTTTGGAGCCGTGGGCAATATTGACTAGCTACTTTTCCTGTAATCTATCAGTTCAGAATTTGAGACGGCTGGCTTTGCTTGATTATCCGACATATTCAAACCAATAAAAAGATTAAAAAGTATGGCAACTTTAGATTCCTTAATGATGTCATAGATGACTCTGTTAAATAATACAACGATTGGCTACGTTAAGCGCTCATTAATTTTCTGCGCAGGTTTTCTTGCTCGTGTTGTGAGAAGTCTGTTGTCATACTTAGCGTTATAATTCCACGTACAGAAGGTGTGATTATTGGAGTAACAACTATTCTAGTTGAGTTTAGGGCCTGAAATAGAATATTTTATATAACTTGCACAAATGTTAAATACAAAAGAATAAGGAAAATAAATATGTAAGTAGTGTTACATTTAAGTTTTAGCGAGAAGTTTTGTTAGAGGAAAAAATAAAAAAACAAATCTTAGATCCGACTAGTTCAGCTGTCACTCTCAGTCTCACACAGTCACACTCACAGTGTCATTTCTAAGGAATACCATTTCTCGGAAATTCTCTATTTGTAGATAAGCCTAAGCATTGTAAGTAGCGATATGTTTTTTTCCTTTGTAACGAATAAAAATGTTTTTTTTTTATGTTATTTAGCACAAAGCTACACAATGGGTTTTCTGCGCTAAAATTGAGGTAGTAATACTAATAGTATTGAACGGTAATCATAAGTTATAACTTATTGTTATTATTTTTTAATTACAATTTTGAATAGATTGTATATCATTTTTAAATTTTATATTATTCAGTTTCTTTGTCGACTAGACTATTTCTACTACTACTACTAGTAAAGTTTACTCAGATTACTGATTTAGTTTTTATGAATTTCCTTTGTCTATAACGCATAAGACTTCATAATCATATTGCAGTTAACAAAAGCAAGATTACTTTTCTTATTTTTAACAAAAATTTATGTTTAATGCATTAAAAAACCCAATGCCATATTTTGATGAGTTTGTTTTTAAATTTGATAACATGAATGATAGTATTAATACTAATAGGCCTATAATTTGTATTTGTAATTTGATAATTTGTTGACATTGTCATATGATATGTGAGTCATGGGGCATGAACAGAAGATTTGACAAGGCCACCAATAAAGCTGAAATTGAAAAGGTTTAGCTTACTAAGTGGACAGACTGTTTTATCTGAATAAATCACTTTGTGACAATTTTATTATTCACTAACTTTAATAAGGATGGTGTAAAGTTTCTTATGTTGGTTAACAGAATAATACAATTACAAATATAACTACTCTTAAGCTTTGGTCACAGTTTTATGAAATAAGGTAAGTTTCATTCAAATGAAATGGGTTATCTTTTCCTTTTTTATTTCACTAATTGTTTGCTTATTAAATTTTTTGGTCATTTGAAATACTTCTTATATATATATATATTTGTAAGATTTGAATCAGTCAAAATGGATATGAACATAAAATTCTAATTTGAACAATATTTTATGTTGTATAGTATGTTGAAGAAAACATTTGCATTTTGAAAGATCAGAGTATGTGAAATTGTAACAGTAATTCTCACAATGCTTACATTCATGTACAGTGTCATATTTCAAAATATTTAAGAAAGCTTAATGTATATAACATTTTTTTATCATTTAGTGGAGAAGCTTTAGTAGTTTTCTACTCAAAATGCAGACATCATTTTGTAAATTCATGTTGATTTTTACAACCTGCCATAAGAGGTAGGTGAAGAAGCACAAAAGCTTTTGAACTATTCATAATTATTAGAAAATACAATTGAATTATTGACAAAAACTAAATAAATTTAGCAAAATGTACCATTTAAGAGGCCACATTATAATCAGCAAGTCATTTCTTGAATCTGGAGCTCTCCAGTGGCTCAGAGGTAAGACTGAAGGTTTATAATGCTTAAAACTGCATTTAAATACCCATGTATTTAGATGCAGCACATATACCCCATTGTGTAGTTTTATGCTTAACAACAAAACAAACACACTTGAATCTGGCACTATACTTTTGTTCCTACCATGAAATATTCCTCATACCTTGTGTTTATTGCATTTATTTGATCCTTTTTTTAACATTACCTCTATTAAGCTTTTCACAGACAAGTTTACATTATGTTTAGTATCATATTGTTATATAATAATAGAAACATAGGGTTCTATGTTGTACTTGTGTAACTTGTATGCACATCAGTATCATTTGTTAATTGTTATTAACATTTTCTGTATTATTGAAAATACATGTCTGTGTTTTGAGTGACTGATAATAAATATTTGTGATAATTAGGATAACTTTTATTCCAAAAAGTAATTCCATAGTTAAATTTTAATTTTATTACATTTTAGTAGATAAAATATATGATCTGTGTGATAAATACTGTTTTATAATATTTGTAGCATAGATTAAAATATGAAAGAAATTATATATAATTCAAAAGTTATATGTAGAAGGTTATAACATTTTAAATACCATTGTCTTTCACTATAAAATAATTTTCTTGATGCTTTATATTTTGATGAATAGGAGAATGCGAGTGATGTGATCCACATTTTTAAAATAAGGATTGAGTAAGGACATGAGAAACTGTACTGTAGGTCCTAATTTAACTTTTGTATTTTAATAAGATTATAATTTGTTGTCATTTTCATTTAAAAAGATATTTAGAAAACTGGCATTTAATAACAGGGTAGCCACAATCCTTTAAAAATTGGGAATGTTTAAAAGGAATCAAAAGTCGAAAAGTTGTGTAACTTTTTTTCTTAGAACCAGCATGTATACTCAATGTTACTTATCTATACCAGTTATTGGTATATTTATCATAATCTTGATCAGTAACTTTGTTATTTTATTATGTTATATAGTGATAATTATTTAATTCCTTATTTTGATGACAGATTAAATCAAATATTTTTTATAAAAAAATGTGATATTTTATTGTCCAATGTCGAGTTGTAATCTCCTTGTTTTATTGAAATTTGTACATAGTTTGAAGTAAGTATGTTTTGAAATTTTATTGCACTTTATAATCAGATTTCAGGCTCAAATGGCATTAATTAAGTAGGATTATGAGGAAAAGTTGATATATCAGTGTGTGTCTTATGTGCATGTATGCACATTTAAAACCTGTGGAATTTTGCATTGCATGTTGAGAAAAAAAAAGGTTTTGGAAATAAGGTAACCATACACTACTCAACATATTTTTTGGAATGAGTTTTGATAAATGGAAATTTTACTGAACTTTGATGTGTAGGGTCCTGGAGGTTTCAATTTTGAAATTTTTGTTGTTTACTAATTAAATCAACCATTTTGATAGTTTCATTGAAATGTAATATTTCTGAATTTGTTGATGATAATACAAAAGGAAGGGATGATACTACAAATAGTGTTTGTTTTATTCAGAGAGAACCAGGATAGCCTTAATGACTGGGTCAGAAATTAAGAAATTAGTTTTAGAACTCTCACTTGGGGACTTAAAATTTGGAAAAGACATACCTGTCATGTGAAAGAGCATTGAAGGTGTAGAAAAAAAAGTGAATCATTTGTAGTTGTTAAGATAAACTTGCTAAGCTAATTGGATTATGGGATTAGAGTACATGTAAGAAAGCTTGTATAACCTTGCATAAGACTTGAGAATCCCATTTAGAATACTGAATGCAGTTTTGGGTCCTTTTCTACAGGAAAAACATTAATTTGTTGGTATAATGATGAGTTTGGATATCAGTAACTTGATTTATATGTCTAAAGCTGTTATGGGTTTGGATAATATACCTGTGGTAGAGTTGGACAATTAATTTGATTAATCAATATAACTGAATACAATTAGCATTGATTAAATTGATTAGTGTCACATGGAATAGTTGATTAGTCAAAATTATGATAAATTGATTAAAGTAAAAAATGATCAACTAATTGAAATTGGTGTTTCCAGTCCTCAAAATTAGGATATCAAGTCCACAGCAAAAAATGAGTCACTGTAATTGCATTAACCCAGATAACATGACAGCAAATGCTGTTGTCCATTCTATAGTGGTTCTTTGCATTCAAATACTGATATTCTTTAATCTTCAAATAATATAAAATGAACTTTTATGTTTGCTCTATATGAAGAAGAATCTAAAATATGTCAAACTATTGTAAATGTCCCTTGGTGGGACAGTGGTAAGTCTATGGATTTACAGCACTAAAATCAGGGTTTCGATTCCCCTTATTGGACACATCAGATACATGGCTTTGCTATTAAAAACACACACTACTGTAAATTTGAAGTAATAAATTTCATTGTTCCTGCTGATACCAAAACATGCATTATTCAAAATGAAACTAAACGTGATTTGACAGAATGCATGTTAGTTCTGGTTTTGAATCACATTTTGATTCAAACAAATGTTTTATTAACTAAACTAATGTGGTGTAAAAGCTACAAAATGAGGAATTATCAATGTTTTAAGCATTCCATGTGAAATATTAAATTATGTATTAGAACCTAGAACCTATATTTGGTTCTTAGCATGTTTTTCACTTGCTAAACATCCTAGAATGATGAAATCTTGGGCAATTTTGAGTTGTAATTTTTTATAATCAAATTCAACTTAGAATTGTCTTTAAGCCGATATTTCATTTAAATAATTACTTGGAATTTAAAAACTGTTTCAAAAATGCAGCACTCTATGTCATCTATAAATTTACTTGTCTAAGGTATAACCATGGCGATGTAGGTTCTACACTTTATTGTTTGAGTTCAAGGATTAAAAAGCATGCACAAAATACAGAATTGTCTTGAAAATATTAAACTGGCAGGTATAGACACAAATTTGACATAAAACAGAAACAGGAAAATTTAAGAACCTTACTGCACAGCACTGTTAAATACTGTAATGCTGAATGGCGTAAACCTTGAGCCCAGGATTGTTGACCTTTGTAATTATATTTATTTTTAGAATGAGTATTATTCATATTCTGTATCGGTATTATTTCATACATATTGCTTTACATTATCATTTTCTCTAATTCTTCTCCCCTTTTGTTTTTGTTCTATTTTTCTGTCCCATGAAAACTGTTTTAACATCTTTTTAACTATTATCACTCTTACATCTTTCATGTAATGCATATATTTCTTTTGTACAAGCTAAACCTGACATCATTGTCTCCAGTTACGATTAACTAGTCTATAGGGTCATCTTGTCTGGAACGTCTGGCTTATGTGATGTCAACATCTGTACCTATATATTCCATTGCACTCACAAGTCATTACTCTTTATTCTCCTGAAGAAGAATAGTCAATTGTTTGAAAGTGCTAGAGTTTTGGGCACTTTTTTTCTGAAATTCATTATATAAATGTATAAATAGATAAAATAAAAAACACCCAAAAATAGTTGTTGGGATTTGTATTCAATATTTCTGTAGATACAACTTAAAATCCCATTTGCCATACTACTTGCAACAGCACACTGCTTGGATAGCTTAAGAGACTGATTCAACCATAATACCAAGATCCCTTTCTTTCATGATACTGTTAAGGTTATTCCCATCCAAATTATACTTATAATTAAA